ATACAAAAGCAAGTAACCTATTGTTTACCGTGAAAATGGTAATAACAATTAGATTTGATTTTATGGTTCTAAAAATACGTGATCTGTTTTTATGCTAGTTGTTAGGCAATAGATGCTAAGTGAAAGACTTGAAAACAAGATAATAGCTTGAAAACAATGTAATAATCAAACCGAATGGCTAAAAATCAGGGCCTCGAGCTGGCGTGTAAAGGCATCGAGGTCGAGTCGGGTGCCCGGCTAAGGGCAGTTGATGGAGGATTAACAGTTATGATAAATTCGATGGCGTCTCTTTATGACCAACAATGAGCAATAAATGAAGAACAATAAATAGAACACAACAAATGTAAGCAATAAATGTAAGTAGTGAGATCAAGAGAATATGTTAAGTTAGAAAACAGAGAGAATGTTCTTGCATATTTAATGTTGAGTATCAGATGTCGCTTACAAAATGACAAGGATCCCCTTTATATATGAGGGGGAATCCCAACATAGTACAAATGCATTTATTACAAAGGTATGGGGCTGGTACATCCATTTAATGCCATGATACGAGTTTGGACTAGCCTAATAGACTTTATCAACTTTAGTCACCTGCCTTGGGAACCTCACATCAATCCACTGTAGTTGCTGATTTACACTGCCTCGAGGCTGTTCGTCGTTTACGCTGCCTCGAAGTCGATCACTGAGAATCCTCAAGGTCGATCACTAGGAACCCTCGGGGTCGGAGCCCCGAGATGATCTTTGAGCCTTCAGGGGGCAGTCTCTACAAGGCGCCTTGTTGATCGTAAAATTGATTTTACCGTATACACCTATCAATTGTAACTGTTGACTTCATCTTATCAGTGTAGGCTAGAGCTACAAGTAAAGATCAAGGAGATTATATCTGATTTAAGATCTCTAAGGTATTGCTACCAATCTTCTTAAATTTTACTTAATTTGTTTTTCTTTGGTGGTGCTAATAATTCTCACTCACTTGTTCCAAAATATCATGGGGTTACGTGATGAGAAATTAACCTTGTAGGTTACAAGTAGTACTATAAATCATGTACGACTTTCTTAAATTAAAAATATTACTTAAAAAGTACTTGAAGAATTATTATTTTTACAATGTATATACGTCTTTCTCATCTCTGTGTTTGCTCAATAAATACTTGATAATGTAGGTATTCTTGTTGGTAAAGATTTTTGATCTTTTATGAGAACAAACGTGTCTCATAACACTAGTTATGCCATACAATTCTGTTGGTAGATTTTGTTCTTGTGCTGCGAGATTGGATATACTGGAATTTACCAGCTTAGATTATTTTTTATTTTTATTTGATGGAAAAATATAATTATTGATGTGTAAGATTATTATTCGCATATGAGGTGGTTGGAAAAATATCACTGTTGCGGAGTAAAATTGCATTTCTACGTACCTTAGAAGTAAGATCTTCCATTGTTTCACAAATATATATTTTTTTATTTTTTATTTTTGTATAACCAACTGCTTTATTGGTTATTGTAATTTCAGCACTAGTAAGACAGATAAATGGACTTGCACGATTCACTTAGCGGTCAGAGAGTGAATATGATCGTTTTGGCACTGGCAACAGTTCGACTGCTATCTCAGCAGCCAGCAGGCCTAGGTATATATCCTCTCTATTGCAAACTATGGTCAGCATAGAATATAGCTTGTGAAACTTGAATTGATTCCCCTTTGCAAACACAGGGATCGGATCTTCTTTTTCTTATTAGTATCCTGCATATCACATTATCACTTTGAAGAAAAGTTATAATTCCATTTCTTCTTAGAGATTTCAGTTGGTGATATGAATATTGAGGCTTATTGAATTTGTAATCGTACATATTGAGGACGCACTTTCTTTTGCTACTCTCTGATTATCATGTGCCTGCTGAATTTTTGTATGTGAGATAATGAACAAAGGGGAAAGACGAAAATCATGAAGACCTTACTTGATCGTTGCTAGATCTATGTTCTTGGAATCTTTTGTTTTTAAAATTGATGTATACTATTGAACTTTCAAATAATAGTGTATATTATACTTTTATATATGGATAATATTAGTTGTATATTTTGGATTATGATTTTGTTAATGAAATAATTTTCGCTCATGGTTCATATAAATTTTGGGGAGTTTACATAAATAAATGTAGAGTTATAAAATATTTCTTAATTTTCAACTATAAAGTAAATAACATATCTTACAACTTAAACACGATAAAAGGATAAAGGAAATAGCCCTTAAATACGGTATCTTCCCATAAATAAGGAAACTGAATATCAAACACATTTAATAAAATCAATTGTTCCCTAAAAGTACTCCATCACAATTCCTATAAATAAGGAAACTTAATACGGAAAATTCTCCATTGCCTTTTTATATGTATTCTCCTTCTCCACCACATTCTCAACCAACAATCTATTCTTTATCAAATTCTCCTTTCTCTAGTAGCAGGAGAAATAATCTTTAAATAAAAAGTACCCAAAAAAAACGGAACAAATAGATCATAATCAATTTATAACATGTAACAAAGATATGATTTATTGTATATTATATATACCAAGTGTCATATGAGTTTATATTATATATAATGTATTGTATACTATATTGATTAGTAATATACATCCGATAAACTAAAGTGGTATTCTATAATAAAAGGTATGTTGTATTGTATACTTATACCAATGTCATATAGGTTTATATTATATCATACATTGTATACGGTATTTACTAGTAGTATACCTTAGTTTTTCCCCCTCAATATATACATCAGATGAAGTAAAGTGATACTGTAGAATGAAGGTATGTATGTTGTATTGCATACTTATATACATTTTCATATACTATAAAATATATTATATACTATATTTATTATTAGTATACATGGGATATATTTTTTAATAATGGGGAAGAGGCTTGGGACATTGGGATATACTCGAATCCTTTAATGGAAAATTGGGGAAAACTTAATACGGATAGATACGTTTTAGGTGAGAGAGAATCTCAAGAGAGATATATAAGGATATATTTTAGGTATGAAAAACTCAAAGAAAATATACAGCAATACATAGTATATGTATATATTATACTATGTATAGTATATTTCTTAATAATATTTCTTTTTTTCCAGTTCAATGTTTGTATACAATATATATATATATATATATATATATATAT